TTCTTTCTCTTTTGAAGGATGAACTAATAATGTGCAAAATGTGATGACTGCTGAATGTCACCATTCTAAATTGTGACTGCTGGCTTTCAATCAGAAGCTGCCTGAGTGTAGTATACATTACATTTTACAAGTACTGGTTCACCCTCCAGTAAGGGAGCAGGTTGTACAAGCATCCCATCGCCTCACAATCTTCAAGGGGGAAGAGTTGAGAAAGAATGAGTAGAGGCAACAAGTGTCCCATAGGAAATGAGAAGGGCTGTTTAGAAGTGGGAATCCAGCAGTTGATACCCTATATATGACATGCACATGGGTCATACATAGCTAAGGCTAGCATTGAGTGTTACAAACCCTACAAGTATATGATACAGCTCTGCACATTAAAAAGCTTAGTTAATTAGGAGGGATAAGCAGCCCTGATATGCAAAGTGCAGAAACCCACAGCAACCAGTGATATGACTTTGGAGATTTCTTATTTTTATTTCTATGGGCACCCCAAACTACCATTGGTCTTTGAGCTAGAGTGCTTTAAATCAGTAAATAAAGTTGCATCAACTATATCCTGTCTGGAAAAGAAGCGGTTAATAAGTCCAACAGGAGAACACACAGTTCAGCTGTGGTACCGCAGGGCATGTTACAGTAGTTCTAAACGTTACAGTACCAGACATAATGCCATTGAAAGGTTAAGGACAACAATGCAGTCTGGGTCTTTGCTGAACTCTGAGGCTTTTAAAGAAATTATCACAGGGGAAAAATAACCCAGCTATCAACAGGTAAGTAATACACTACTGGCTGACACCAAAGCATCTCCGACTAGTTCAGAAAAGAGCAATTGTTCTTCAGATCGCTGCCTGTTGTACCTTCTCATTGTAATTGCAGGAGGCAGCTGTTAAAAGTGGGCACCGAAGACAAAATGTAGCAGCTTAGAGGTTTGGAAAAGCTGGCAAACTCGCTGGAGGATAAGAACAAACTAGGGGAGGGCGAGGGACCTCAGAGCCAGAGCCACGGGCAGTGATAGAGACAGATTGCTGTAATTCTGTCTGATTGATCCAAGAAGCAACTTGCGATCAATAAACGGCCTATTTCACTCAGGAGCACAAATACACATTTGTTAAAACTCTTACACCACTAGAAACAAGGCCTTCAAGGGGGTTGGCAAAGTTTTTTTCCACTAACACTGGCTACTTAAAAAACTGGGATCCATTTGTTTTGAGAGAATGGAGAGGCACAAAAGGAGAGCGATCTCCTCCCAGGACAATTATCTATTTTTTATTTTTTTTTGCTGTTACAAACTTATTATTTGAATTTGTTTATTAGGAAGG